GAGAATTTAGAACCTGGTTTGAAGTTTAAAATGCTTTGGAGCTTTTCGACAAGGTGTCTGTTGTCAGCTAAAAAATCAGGTATATTGTGAGAGAATCAAGCAAGGGTGAGCCACATGTGAAGTATGAATGTGTGGTGTTTGTATGTACTTTTGGAAGCAATAGGAAATCCCTAAATGATTGTTAATGCGTAGTGTACTAGATCCCAACGCACGAACCAGGACTGCGTGTAGTAAACGCGGTGTTAACAACCATTTTATTTGTTTCAAAACGATTTGAAAAGCGGATAACATACGATGATCTGGTGAGTGATCGGTAAGAATTAAATAGCAAGAATAACGTTTCGGGTTTTGGTCTACAATCGGTGGTTATTTCGAAGTTACAACTAGTTGAGAAGCTGATTATTATTCAGGGTGAAAAAATTGGCTGGTTACAAATTGCTTGTTTCAGTTCAAATAATGAAATTCCTATTTTTCGGATGCTTGTGATTTCTCCGTGGTTATAAACACGGTTGCCCATGATTTATAAGAAAACTTCAAATAAATTTTCTTTGAACCAGTGGTCTTCTTTTTCTTGGCGAAGCATCTATTGAGACGATTAGGTAGCAAAGTAGAATGTTCTGTGATTGAGAATCGTAGTCGTTGAGTTTCGGATTTATATCGTGCATCTAATTGCTATAACCCTATGAATTAAGCTTTTTCCTCATGGTGCATTATGATATCTGGAAACCATAAGCACACTGCCTTCGATAAATTTATTTTTACTTTTTAAATGACAGCAAATAGTGAGTCATTTGTGGCGATAGGATAAATACCACTAAACGCTTTCGTGTAGAGATTAGGATATGTTTATTTTCTCGACTAGGAGACGATCTTTTTACCCAGAAAGCTCTCAGGATGTCCGCTTTTACTTTGTAATTCAAAGATAACGTTGAGTTGCTCACTTAGGTAGTAGCAAGGGGGTAGCTTTAGGTAATGCGTCATAGAAGTAAGCAGTGTATGTTTATTGTGTCTAAATATATTAAACGTTGTAAAGCCGGTCAAATCGTAGTTCTCAAATATGAGTTAGTTTTTTAAATAATGAGTGTACCGTGCTAGCGTTTGTGCTCGAAACGTCATCAGTTAATATAACTGTACAACACTGTCTGATTTATCAAAATAAAATCTTATCCATAATGGAGTTATGCTCTACCACAGTGCCCAAGTTTTATACTTATATCAGCGTTTACCTTGGTTTGCATACCTAGCTCATGCATGCGTGTGATATACATTTAAGGCTAATACGCTGTTTGATGAATTAGTCCGAGATACTTAAAGTCAGACTTGAGCTCTATATCACTGTCATCAATTTTGCAACGGTCATAGGAATTAACAGCTTCACCTGACTTTCTCTTACATCGGGAACTGAAATTGACAGTCTGACATTTGGAAGGATTTAGTTTAAAAGCATTTTCTGACTACTAACAGAGAGCTGTTCATCTTAGTACAGTGTAGATGCGAATTAAAAGACACTGGAACAGTTAGTCCGCGCACTTGACATATTTCATTTCGTATGCATATGTACATTAAGTTCGTCAAACAAAAATACAATTAGTAGTGGACGACTATAATGGATAAAATGCTGTGATGCAAGACTGCAGCTGCATTTAAAGTACTTCTACTGTGTTTATAGGCGAATTATTTGAGATCGTTATAGGCTTTAAGTGAAGGTTGAAGATTAAGTAAGAGTAACTTTTCCATAGGTTTTAGAAAAGGGGAGGTAATAGCAATAGGTCTAAATTTAAAGCATGTTCCATTAGACGACTTAGGTATGGGTACAATTTTAAAGTCCTTCCAAACGGCTGGCACAACATTTCTGGAAAAAGATTCATTAAATATGTGAGAGCATATCTGTACATTTTTTAAGAATAAGGCTAGGCAAACAATCTGGAACTACAAGAAGGGTTCAATGACTGGTGATATTTTAGAACGTCATTTAATAATAATAATAATGATTTACTTTATTCCAAAAACAGTACTTGTGATACAGAATGGGATTTTCAGCATTAATCACAATATTGCATCTAATTTCCTCAAATTATAAATAAAATTAATCACATAGAAAATTTTTCTACATTTACAATAGGGTTGATATAAAAAAAATAAAAAACATGCAGCATATAAAATGGAAATAATGATAGCAGCTAAGGAAATTGCCGTGGGCTTGTTTCACACAGTATTGTCGATGCGGTATACAAATCCTTGCATGATTAAAAATATTGAATATGATGTTCTCTTTACATGATATGGTGAGGGGAAAAACAAAGATTACAGCAGTCATAGAGATAAGTTGGTGTTTGCAGTTGTGAAAGTGAAAACAAAGAATCAACAGGACCATAAATATAATAGAAATAATAAAAGTAAAACTTGAAGGTATATAAAGATGGATGGAGGAGATTGTTTACTTTGAAATAATAGAGAAGATTTGTAGCTCAGGTGGATGATTTGCAATTAAAAGTTTTCTCTGAAGAAGAAATTTAAATCATTTCACTCTGTGCTAAATATGGCGCTGAAGATGTTGTCCGGAAGGACGACGAAAGCTTCGCGACTAAACCAACCAGCTCAGAGAACACTTTTAATTGCAGATTGTCTATTTACTAGATGAAAAAAGGTTTGTATTGAAACCAAGGAAGCAACTCTCATTAACACTTGTGACACCAGAAACCTTGGTATTTGTGGGAGAATGTATGAATGCCTTGTTTACCGTACACACATCAAATGAATGGGATATACTGTTGTAATACTGGAGGTAATCAGATGCATAAATGCGTAAGTTATTTAGTATTCATAAAGTAGATATGCAAACACCGCAGTTGTTGATTATAGAAATGATGGATATTAGATAACATCACATGATTCAACGGCATAGAAATAGATGAAAATTGTTTCTTTGCTCACTGTCAAGTGAACAGTCTATTTGACGATGTCACTGCATATTAACAGATTAGTGAAGTAGCTGTCAAGCCTAAGTCATTAAATTTACTTGTACTTCATACTTGGCGTTTAACAGTGTACAGAATTGCAACTGGCTAGATAAGGCGATTTTAGCGTATCGAACAGTACAGAATTATTATTTAAATTGCTAAATCTTACTTAGTTTTTACAATGTCCTACTGTATAGAAACAGACACGAAATCTTACGAAGGGCTAAAGTAACAGTCTCATAATACTATAGTAAATCTCCATCCCTCTAACTAAGCTTAACATGCATTGATCCGAATTCACGCACTGAAAATTCATGCACTGAAAAAGTCTAGGGGAAGTAGAATTGAAGAGTATATTAAACATTTCATTAATTTACAAAAGAAAATCCCGATGAAGAGTATTAACGTTAGCTTGTCCGGATGATATTTCCGCTGGTTTCATATTCGACAACTTCCGTATACCTGAAAAAAATAAAGCACATGTAAGGACTAGCACAACATGAAGTTATGAAAGATAATTCTACATATTAGCACACACTGAATACACTGATTCGGTTAATACTAAGTAATATCTCATGCGAATAAATGTATATGTAGTTTTATATTGGCACTGTAAGCATCAATAGACCTCAAATGTTTTCCAGTATTAAAGGATTACACGCAAATATCAAGACAATCTTTGAAGCTTCCATACTGTTGAGGCGTCATACTATCATTAACCTTAGTTGCAGATCAACTTCACACTGAATACGTTTACATTAAATGAAGTATTGCAAATGTGTAACTTAGGAATTGATCCATAATCTCAGTAATGTCTAATGAGCATAGTTTTATGAATCCTACAGAAATTACATTCTCATATTTAGGAATCTGTAGTCATCAAATATAAGCTGAACATGCTTCAACTCTAAGCAACTATGCACAGGGTTAGCAGCATAGAGAAACACTTAAAATATTGTAAGATACGCAGGCCTGTTGTGTCGATGAGGATAACAATGACATATAATGCAACCTAGACATTCGGTTGTGACACTGCATCTATACTGCTTCATGTTAATGGGAAATTCAGGAAAAATTCATCACCACTACTGGTGATCAAAAACAGTGCAGCATTAAGTTTACAGTGCCAGTGAGAATGGCATAACAGACAGTATATTGATAGTAATAGAGCTGACGAGATTCAGTTCTCATAATCGACACAATCCATGTGTATAATAATACTATACACTGAATTAATGCACTAAGTGGCACAGTAAGGAAATTTAAACGAGTGATTGCCTTCTCCACGGCACTGCACTTGCAATAATCATAACAACCACCTACGTTTGCTAGCCAAGCAGTCAGCTAAGTAGACAATGGCACAATATAAATAAAGTTGAGGTATTTTTTATACATTGAGTCCACATAACTCATATTACACTACACTAAACAGTGCAAATATACATGAAATCCACTTACAAATAACCTCTCAACTTACGATAATTCCTGTCCAAACACACACGGTGAGACACATCTACATGATTACTTCTATTCCCACAGAAGGTTCTGTTAGCATTTACAGGTGATTTCCAAGTACTGATAGAATTCTTTTGTCAAAAAGGACTGTTCTTCACACGAAAATAGGCTGAATTAATATCCTGAGACGTGAAGTCTCCATTGAATGATACCATGACGAAAGGTGCAGCATCTAAATAAAGTAGATTATTTGTGTAGATGAAATTACCCTTCAACTATCCTATCTTTCTCACTATAGCGATATTTTGCTACAGTTCACCTGAAACACTGATCGTTGCAACCAATATGCTAGGGGGTGTCGCAGTCAGATTACATGACGCGGACACCAAAATAACAGGCCAGAAAATGGGAATTCTCATCAATCCAGATAACATATAACGCAATTTCATTAAAAGTTATTGACAAAAAAAAATTTCCAAGGTAAATTTTAACAGCGCTACTAGAACATGGCATTTAACGTCTACCAATTTAAGGTTAACTGGCATTTGTGACCTTGAGGGTAGCCAAACGCGCGCTAACGTAATCATGCCGAGAAGGTATATTGTAGTTCTTTTTTGATTTTATGTAGATCTTATAGAAATGGGAGTCCATCAAGACCACAGATTCGTCCTCATTCGACGTTGCCGGCTCGTCCACCTCCATCAGTCCCTGCACATCCTCCAGCACAAACCAAACAACCCGGTTTGATGGGTCAAATGGCTGCAACGGCTGGTGGTGTGGCTGTTGGGTCAGTGATCGGCAATGCCATCACAGGAGCAATTTCCGGCGGAAGTAGTGGGAGTGCACCACAAGTTGCTTCAGAGCAACCAGGTTCAACTCAGTACCAAAACCCATGCCAGTACCATATTGATGAACTAGTTCGTTGTGCTCAAAGCCAGAGCGATATAAGCGCCTGTAGTGGTTTCTCAGAGGCTTTAAAAGAGTGCAGCCGTCAGTACGGAATGTACCGTTAACTTTTGTGCAAAAATTTATTTTAAACTCGTTTCATTTGTGATTGATGTCATCCCTTAGTCTGGATGTAGGCATAGTATTCGTTTGAGTAAACTTTCATTTTAAATTGCTTCTTTTTATATCGCATGGCTGTCTCTCACCAACATTTGTTACCTGTGATGTTACTATATGTTCCTGACATTAGCGGTAATAAGAAACCGTAGTCATGGGGCATATAGAGCGATCTGTGGGAAAACCACTGATTAAATGCTTCTAAGTGAAAATCTGAGAGTAATAGCGAACATAACTTTTAGACATCGACACCTCCCACATGAGATGTAAAAGTTAATCCTGTATTTCGGGACGCCAGGAAATTCCGTGGGGTAAACATCTGACAGAAAATCGGGCAAAATATCTTCCTAATGGAATAAATATACATACTTGCTGTAAATTGGCATGGGTTGGGTGTATAATTGGTATTCCAATGGGGGGGGGGGGAGAGTGTAGCTGATCGGCTTTGCTATTCGACTTCCAGTGAGACAATTAAGTTGCGTTCAGAATAGTAACAGCGTACATTGTCTAAATGACACCGATAAAATAGTGACTCACATCGTTGTTCTACCCTTTTTAATATGCTAGAGCACGATTCTCGTCACGTGTTTATTGATTATGTTTATTCTGAAGCAAGAAGTATCCATATCGGAGATTGGTTCTGCAGGAACATAAGATGAAGGTTGAAGTGTTTCCATCTTAGCGCAGTATATGCTAATAATTCATCAGACTCGGTTATATTAAGTGATCGAACTAGTTAAAATGTTTAGTCCATTGATTACCCGATGCTTTACTACTGCCAATAAGGGTAGGATATTCGAGGAGTCTATTTCGTCATCAACCCATTCTCCAATGGCACAACTGCCCACAATCTCTTGACTACGAAAAATGTGGAGCGGAAATCGCTTCATATTCATATTTTCCCAAGTTCTAGTTATATTTTTACATATGAAGTTGTCTCACCTTGTCGTATTTTCATGAACGCATTGTGTCCCTCAACCAGTGTCATACTGAACTCTGTGAAAATCCTCTGAGAGCGGAAATCCCTCACAGATATTCACAGGAAATTTAGGCCTTTACAAAGTTGAATTCACTCATTCGTATTATTAGCTTTTAATGTGTACTGTGTAAGTTGCGAAAATATCTCGCGTATTTCGTGATGTCATGCATCATATTTTTATAAGAAATTCAGAGGATGTGTGCGTTAGCAAACGTTGGTCGCTTTCACGAGACTTAATTTGAAATACTTTCGATGCTGACTCTACGAATGTTTCATGTGTTAAAATGTGGGTATCGGAGGTTCACTGAGTGACATTAGTACGAACAACTGTCACGATTTCTTGTGTTCATTTGACTGTATGTTCGGCTTATTACCTTTCAAGTAGAATGTGTACACAGGCCTATTATTACTGAAATGGGTAGGGTGTTTAATTTATGTCGCAGTGGGAGGCGAATGTAAATTATTAGCTTTGATACTCGACTTTTTACCGGAGGAATCTGGTTTTGAGTTTCACTTCGCTTGCGTCTGTCTACTACTCTTACAAATATATCTGGTAACTGGATGTATAGAAGTTCTGTATAGAGGAAGTGGTTGTGTTAAAAATAGTCAACCACAAAGTGTAAGAGAATTTTGAAGGGTCTATAAATGGGTTTGGTGCAATGTTGATCAACTCTGAATTATAGTTTCGAACCTGGAGGTGTAATTAATTAATTGAGGGATCGTTCACTAATGGAATTCTGTTTCGAGATCGTACTCAGTCGGTAATGGTGGTGATAAGTTTCATTGTGCAAGTGACACTGATAAAGTGGAAAATCACTGGTCTTTGTTCTACAGTTTTTTTTGCTGTAACTTCATGAATTTCTTGCTGATTTTGTGTTAAAAGCACCTCTTAAATAGCTCTTTGGATGCACTTTCTTATGGAATGCGCTCGTCGGTTTTGTCGTTATCATGTCATATATTTTTCCCTCCATTTTAATGTTCTCTTTTTGTTTGCTTTCGACCTGTATTTATGCTTTGTTTCCTCTAAATTATTTTGCTGTTTTGCAAACTTGTAGTTTTCATACGTAGACTTACTGGCTCTTTGGGACTAACATTTCTTAAAACTTCTTGTAGGACAGATTGTGACTTGCGTCTCATTTCTAATAAGTTTGTATGTGGTTGATTTAGTAATTGTGATTTAGTTTCTCAACTAGGGATTTGACGCTTTTTGTCGCCGTATTCCCTAGTTTACATGTGTACATGGTGAACCTATGTTTGATAGACTTTTCTTGCCGAATAAATATCTTTTAAACCTTGCAAACCTACTCTTTCACGTAATATTTTATTCCTTTAACATAGTATATCGAACTGAAATGGAATATTTTGCACTTAGATTCTACGCTGTCTCTAATTTTCAGAAAATGGTGGAAATAATCAGTGATTAAATTTATTTATTTATTATTATAGCAACGATTAACAATATAGGAATTTGTTTATTTAAATGTCAATTATAATAGTAATAATAATTTGCTTTATTCCAAAACAGTACATGTGATACAGAATGGAATTCTCAGCATTTTTTACTACAGTATTGCATCCATTTAGTACATTATCAATAAATAGAATTCTACATAGATTAAGGAAACCACAGTTCATTATTACAACAACACATTGGCATGTCAGTAGCAAAGGTTATTTTGGAGTAATCACTAAAACAGTGCTTGAAGTGTAAGTAATTTAGTAGGAATACTGCTGTTTATGGACAGAAAATCGGTGAAATTGGTAATTACAGGTGGGAATTGCCATCTATCTGGATGCATTAAAGGTTTTTTCGCACCCTTGATTAATGACCAGGAGAATGGTGGTAGGTCATCATAGGTCGGCCCACTGATTGCAATCATGTTGAGCTACGAAAGTCAAAAGACAGGTTGTTAATAATGAAAAAAGTAATTAAAATACTGTAAAGTGCAAACATTGTCTGAATGGAAACCTAGGTGCAACAGGATAATCGTATATATATATATATATATATACTAGGAAGAACTGAGAAAAAGTTTGCTGTTGTGTTGATTTTGCACTTCTGTTGTTTTCTTTTTCTGCTGTGACGGATTATTTTGGAACGGTTAGCTATTAATGTACCTTTCTGTATATTATATACTGATTATTAGTGATTTTAAAATGACTCATTCCCACTCAAAATGCTTTATTTTATCCAGGTGTATGGAGAGTGACTACATTTGAAATGACAATAGTCATGTTTTACAAGGAATGGATACATTTGTACTCTATAATAGATAAGAAAGTCCCCATATCACTGTTAAGAAAGACTTCTCAGTGTTCGAATTCCAAAGTAGGATGTTTCGGTCATGTAGTTATAAGTTTGATATACCACACCATACCGAAGGAAAATTAGCGTTATCTACGTGCATTGTAGTAGTGCTTGTAGGATTAACTACAACAAAGTATGCTTCCAAGCATTATTCAGTGCTCGAGCTCTCGTTTTATTGTGCATGTGCGTTTACCAGGAATAGTAATGTCGTATTGAAGCTTGAATAACACCAAACAGCCCCCATCTTTATTCTTATGTCTAATGAGTGCATTACTGGCCTAGCTGTTCAGTTTATCAGTAAGGAGTATTACAAGTTAACTGTCAACTATGTGATTCTATGGCATGTTTCACTATCCAACTACATTGCCAGTAGAGGTATTGTTTCAATTCATTGGTGCAAATTACGAAACTATACCATAAATCAAACAAGAATAGGTAGTAGTATTCGCGAGTGATGCGCCTATCACAAACGAACATATTTTCTCATAATACCGTAGTGAGTTAACCTAGATTACCAAAATTTTGTTTTTTTTCTAAGAGAACCTTAGTAACATCACAACTGAGTGATTGAAAAACTTGGGAAGTTAGAAAAGTCTATGCAGACCACGTTGTATGCGTAACATTTTCACTCAATATGGCATCCTTCTCAACCGTGTCATGTGAATTTTTAAATGTTTTCACTTCATTATTATACTGTACCATTCAAAGTGGTAACTAACTTCTGTTTTAATGAACCTGATTTTCCACTTTTTCGTACATTAAGCAAGTAACCCCTTTTTCAGCTTCCTATACTAATCTATGTGATTTACTTCGTATTGTCAAGTGTATACAGTCTCATCTTTTTGCAAATCTTAATATATACTTTTTATTGATTTGTTCCTATGTATTTTCAGCAAGTGCATTTAAGTTTCTTATATCCTACACTGTCATACAGGCATAACGAATAGCCATACACTTCATTGTTGTAAGCGAGAATCATAACCATTCCAATGTGTAAGATTTCTTGAACTTGTTTCATTTATCTAAACAAATTAGAAACGAAATAATTGAGCAAAGAATATCCTTTACGATAATTTCCTCTTCTGGCTCTACAATTATTATATATATGTTTATATACATAGAATACTCTAGAATAGTAGTCAATAACAATATTAGTGTTTTTTTAAATAATATCGATTTGTAAAGTATGATCAATGCGATTACAGTTCATTAAAGATGCTTAAATTATAATAATAATAATAATAATAATAATAATAATAATAAAGAAATAATAGCAAATAGAATATCAACAAAAATTAGGAAAATTCCACAAAAATTGAAGATCATTCGAACCTAGATGGCCAAGGTAAGGATAATGACTGAACTAACTTCTTTTGAACACATAAATTAGACTTCTTAACGTGGATTCCAACAGCCAGCCCCAGCAATATTTAGTAAACGAACTCTTAAGGCGAAGTTAAGATTCGTTGGTATGTGGTAAATGACTTCGAAAGCCTGGTTGACATCAATCTTGTGTTCTGTATCCACAAGATGAGATGGAATAGCGCTACGAATAGATTTTGTTTGTACTTTACTTAACCACGCAGGGTAATATTTAAAAAGGAATGTTCACCGGGACAGGGTATATTGAGTAATGTACTCTGACAAACAAACTGTAGCCTAATCATCATTTGAACCTTTGCTTCCTAGCTTTGAATGTCGCTCAATTTACTTCGCTCTGATCCACCAGGTGGTATGAACAGTATTCATACGAAGTGTTGCTCATAGCGTACTGCATTGGAAAGTAAGATCTGTACAGGTGTAACCAAGTTCCAAATGTCAAGTATTAAAACGTATTACATCTAAAATTGATATGATTCTAATCATAGTTTGTTGTGGCAAGTTTTTTTTTACAGTGATATTTATCCCTTAGTAATTTATTTCAAATACATATCTAACTAACTTGATTAATCATTGATAAATCCACAAGTTTCGCGTCCGTTCCTCCTGCTAAACGATAAGCCCACGATGGGACTGGATAATAACCATTAGGATCATTCAGTTCATTCCTTGACGATATTGCGTTGTTACTTGTAAATGGAGGTTTACAAGGACATAGAGATAGTGGATCATGTGTAAAATCATTATATCTGAAAGGAAATGTGCATATTCAGTTCGCATATAAGTAGAAAGTAATATGATTTTGACAAGAATTACATATATCTGAGTGACTTCACTTAATTTGAGGATGTATTCTACTGGATTACACATATTGTTGTGTTAACTGTATTACTTGATGTTTTTATTTCTTTGGAGACTAAAGTTGATTCATTGAATTCTACGTTTTGTAGTCTATCCTTCTTAGTTGTTTCTGAACAGCTATATCGCAGCAGTATGCTGGCTGTTGCATTGTACTACTCACTCTAAAAATTTATGCTTTTCAACAACATCTCTGTATACTACTTAACGGCGTGGTAGTAATCATTAACATAATTGTCTAACAGTTTGCTATCAAACTAACCTCATAATCTTCATCATACTTGGAAAATCAACGACTTTATGATGATCACGACGGAAAATATTCGCCCTTGCTGTCATGTTATGCACAAACCAAGGCCCATACTTTTTCGCCATATCTTCTGTTCCACTCATTACATATATGTCCCTAATATATCTATGTATAAATAGAGAGAGAATGTGAAATTTGGTAAGAATTACAGGAACTCAACTATTTTATGCTAATGGTAAATGACAATAAGTTATTGGCAAAAATTAAACGTTCACATTAATATACACGACGAAAACTTAGCGATAAATGATTGAATAAGAAGCCTATGTTCACTCCACCCATTATGTTGTAAAAGAACCCTAAAAACTAAGATTCAAATCGTAACCCAATACAAAAATGTTGGTCTAGGACAGATTATATAGCTTTAAGATTTCAGTGGTATTGCTCATTGGTCTAGGCGCCTGATTCCTAACCAGTGGGTTGCGAGTCCGAATCCCGTTCCACCTACCGAGTTTTGGGAAGCCAGGTAATATCAGCAGCCTTCACACAATAGGTGTGGTTCATTGCCAGCTGTATTGGTCGGTTTTGGACATAGAACTTTGCACATATATGCGGCAGTTCAAGTCACCACACTCCATGTAGCACACAAAGCAAGAGAAGAAAGTAGGAGAAATGCATAGTATAGACAGTAAACAGAGGTGAGAGACAAAGGAATAGTAATAACGAAGAACAATATAGTTTCATTGGAAATCATAAGTCACAAGGAGTGGATGCATCTGCGCCACTGAGAACGATTTTGAGCCATGTCACCAACTGTTTCCAACCATTGGTTTTTACCGTCCCGAGGACCCCAACCAGTCAGGAAGTCTACACCTTCCTACGTGGCTTAGATTAACTGTTGTGGATTTCATTGACTGGTGCCATGTTTTGGTTTGAACGCCGCTAGCTCTTTTCCAGCCTGACCCTATATCAGCTAACATTGCCCGTCGAGGAAGGCGATGACTAGGCATACGTAACACATGTCCTAACCATCTCAGTCGATGTAATTTCACAGTCTCGTCTATTGATTACCAGCTGTATAGGGAATTTCAATTGGTCGTTAAGTAACATTTCATTTTCAATGTTTTGACCGAATGTTAGTGCCATCCTCTAAGTTGTTGCAGTCATCATAATCATTTCTCACAGTTGTATTCGCTTTGTTAACTGTAGTTCCAGCCACTGAATTTATATCAATGGAAAATTAAAAGCACTTATCTCTGATAAGTGATGCTGCAACAAAACAGCACACTATTCATTTCTTCAAGCTGAATAAATGTGTAATGCATCTAATATGGAAGTACTTAAAATCGATTTGAAGTGAAATATGATCGTTAAAACGGTAAAATTATCACTTACGGTAAATTATAACTAGCCCAATAGGTTTGAGATTTCAATATGTTTGTCACATCAAGGCTTTCCACTATTCCACTAGAAAATAAAATTGATCGAAAATGTCTAAGTGACTGCTAAAGGAAATGTTGATACTAACTAGATTCTGTAAATTACTCATTTCGGGTTAGGAGCAATGCAAAAATAAGTGAGGCCAAAATGTGAAACTGACATGATTTATCTAGGAACAAAAATAGTAATTAGGTCAAGATTTATGTTCATTTAAAAATCGTGAGTATGAAAGCCGTTCTATGCATAGTACCGATTAGCAGGGAGAGTAACAGATTACTTCTGTGCGGCAAAATTTTCCTAAACAGTTAGCTCACTGGCGACAAAAAAGTTATAGCAGTTCAATTAATTACATATACAACAGAATCTATTTCTTACAGTGTTCATGGTCTTAAGGAGAAAGACTCATTTGGGTGACCAAAATCTTCTGTGGAAGTTCTCCAACTATTCGTTTAAGTAAACAGTGTGTGTGTTATATTTCTCGTGCACTTCCAGACTTGACCCTGGAGTCAAGCATGTTTCATAGTACCTTTGAATACTTTGAGTTTCCGATGGAAGGTACAATCAAAATGTCATATTTGCGTCTTACATATTCATAGGGTTCCATCGCTCATTTAATCAAACCCAAGTATCAATGCTGTGTCTTTTTAGTTGACATGAATTCAATTAATTTGAATAATAGGGTTTAATTCTCTAAAATCATTTTTTAGAAACACAAGGAAATAAGTTATTCTGACTAGGAGCTTTATGATACCTCAGTATTTAGAGTTCTGTCGTGATCGTCATTTTGTCAGGTGGGTCGTATTTATAGAGAAAAACGTGGGCTGTACAATTTCCTTCATTCATTTGCTTTCAGGTGGAGTATAGGACTCCAAGCTTGTATCGTTTTTACGGAATGGGGTTGTAGCCTCAAACCCAGCCTTCCCTATTTACCAAGTTTACTACCGGTTAGGCGGTTTATGAATGCATTGGCTGGGAATCGGGCCCAGACCTCGTAGGTGGTTGGCGAGTATTTCACCGCTGACGCTGGGCTGTGCAATAGACCGAATAAACCAATCTGCATGAGGTTATACCTTATAATTTTTAATCATCAACAGCGAGACAAAACAAATGTGAAGCAAATTTGTGATCACTATTATTTCCAAAAGAAGACTTGAAAAAAATGAAGAACTCTTGGTTCACGTATCTCTGTTTTCTTCAAATATCACGTGATATATGCCTATGTTAGCGATAGACTCATTTCAGTAGTATGCTCTTTTCTGTTTTCTTGTATATAACCAAAGGACTGAATGAAATATATTATGATTAAACAGAGTTTCGCCCACAGCAGATACATAACTATTAAATAGGTGGTTACGGCATATTGATCACATTTAGCGGTTTTATCCCAAATACAATATCTTAGGCTGTGAAATAAGTAGACTGTAAAAATTTCATCACATATCAGTCTATACTATCATTTAAATAACCGCTACCTAACTTCTAGTTTTTGCATAGCATAGAAAACTGTAAATGGCTATCGTCTAGTATACTGTTATAGAGTAGTACTCCTATTGGTAGAAGATGTACAATCGTATGACATAATAGTGACATATCGAAATATCAACTCACGGTAACTGTTCAGCAATCATAAGTGACCCTTTGTCAGCTGGCCATCGTTTAGCGTCAAACACCATCCATTGATTATTATAGCTGTAAAAGTAAAATTGGGAAAACAGTCGTGCAAAATTATGTCGATAAAAAAATTTATACTATTCAGCTACTGGGGCCTGATTCAGTGGCCAGTCCATGAATTTTAACTTCCACCAATTAGTGATCTGCTTTAGCGTGACTACCAACCAATGTCATCGACGGGAAATGCATCCTCACACTTGACTGGATGGATTTCACTGGTCACGACTTCTCACTAGAACTTCAGGAAACTCCGTCCTGTAACAAGTCACTAGCGAGCATCATATTCATTTTCAAGAGTTGATTTGTAAGGATTAGAATTTTTTTCGTGTTTGGCCATGGATTGATATCAGTGAGAGAACCACTGAAAACAAACTAGGGAGTACTGCTGATGGTTCCCAAATTAAGATGAAACAGCTGTCCAGTACTCCCTGGTTTTCAATGGTTCTTTAACTGATAACAATCCGTGGTCAAACTCGAAATAAAAAATTTATATTTAAAAGTACATAAATATTGTCATGGTGTCACTGTTTTTAATTTAAGTTTTATAAGTTCTAAAGCGACAGCATTACACATAAGTCTTTTAAAGTAAACAACATTTACACAGGAATAAATGTACTTTTATTAGTCGTTCTTAGAATCCATCACCTATACCATTTAGTAAAACCATGAGACTATTGACCACAGCAATCATCACATCGGGCTCACCAGTTTAGAGGCTGACGGTATTGACATTCGCGAATTGTATGGGTATACTAACGCAAGATCTTATACCAACAACTTTTATAGTATTCGTTCCTCGTGTACCAAAGACAAAGCAAAGTGGCAAGATTGATCGTCCAGAGTAGGAGATATATTTCGGGACCAAATCGTGGACTGAAGTTGAATGCTTAACTGGCTAGTGATCGTGCACGAACGTGACACGACAGAGTACCAAATGGCATGGATGCTTAACCGGAAGCCTTCAGCTAAACAAGTCGACTTAAACATTGAAGGTCAGCATCCGATGTTCAGTAATGATTGCTGTGGTCAATCATTTTGGGAATTATTTACCGCTACACTATCAACCTGCATAAATATTACTTGTATAGTAAAAGTTCTATATTGATACCTGAGTAAGTAAACACTGTAGTGAACTCAATTATGGATAAGATTTTATTTTGATAAATCACACAGTGTTATACAGTAATATCAACTGATGACATTTCGAGCACAAATTATTGCTCATAATCATATCAATAATTTGTGCTCGAAACGTCATCAGTTAATATTACTGTGTAACACTGTGTGATTTATCAAAATAAAATCTTATCCATAATGGAGTTACGCAGTGCCCAAGTTTTATACTTATAACAATAATACTGTAGTGAACTGTTTAAAGGATATTTGGTCACAGTGTTTACCACTTTTGATATAGATATCATTAAGATACAAAACGTGGGGACCAGTAAGCCCAATCCATGCTTGTGTTTATGACAAAATGATAAACTTAGGTGGACAAGACAATACGCCTAAAAACCTTCTTTCATAAGACAAGTATATTTAGTCAAGAGTTATGCAATATTTGGTGGGATGGTCAACAAGCTTATTCCTACCTTGCTATAACATTATAGACATGAACTACTTTTGACGCTACGCTCTGCTGACTGACTGCAAAATTTTGATCAGTAAAGAAAAGTAAAGAAAAAAATATACCCTCTTGATATCGCCTCTGTATGACAACTGTAGACGTCAGGCTTTAAGTGGTAAATGAGAATGACGAAATACTTGATGGAAGTGAGGATTATCAATCAATAAATTAAGTGACCCTGATATATATACATAGTAATCTGTGTGACATGTTAACTGAACAGACAGAAATCCACCGAGCTTATGGGAATTCAAATAATATTTTTCCTCTAATTCTTATAATATTTATGTTTACCTTCAAGGAATTTCTTTTTCAAACTCAGGACCTAGTGACTGGTAGTCGAGTACGCAAACTAGTAAAACATATCTCTTTCTTGCTTGGTGGCACATACTACTGTTTGATTTGAGTAGTAGGAAATAACTTAACCAATAATGCTTCTTAATCAGACTATAGTCATCTAAACAACAAACGGCTATTGAACTCGTTTGGAGCTGAGCTAATCAGCTTTATTCGTGGACTTTTTCAGCTCAGAGAGTCGATTCTGTTCAAATCGCTTGAATTATGACTAGTTACTTGAGTGAACTAAATTTGCATAGAATCAAATTTGTTATGTGCCAGTGACACAGTTTAAGGTTTGAATTCTTAATGTCCGGTTATAAATCTTTGTCATATTTTGGCAACTCGAACTTATATCGCACCTTATTTTGATTTATAAATCATTATTGATTTTATAAGGAAAACGATTTGTTTCAGCGCTGTGAGGAGTGTGTAATGGGCTAAAAGACTGAGCATATTAAATTCTACTGATTTCATTTAATCATGGTATTGAATTGTAAAGTTAATGGTAGAATGACGTAAGGTAAAGCAGTCAATGATTGCCAGTAATTACTAGCTAATTATATGTCCCCAGTCAGGACACCTCGCTACTTACACACCTACGAACTTGTGAGAGGTTAAACCAACATGATAAGTACTTTTTCTCCCTTAAATCGATAGTAATTTCATAACTTGTGATTCTTGATGCTAACAATTAGTGACAGTCCCACTGCTACCCAGTGTTGACACAATTCCTTCTGGGGACCTCACTAACCACAAACCCCTTCAAGAACTCTATGAAACTAACCTCGAAATTTGTTGGTAATCTTTAATCGGTAGGAATTAAGTTGTTATATGCGTTGTATAGTGGGCTTTTTCTCTACTGAAAAATACCTTTGTATAAAACTTTAAATGCAGTTCTCATTTGCTTAGGTAAAAAAGTCCTTCATTGTCCTCCTGTAAAATGTTTTATCAGTGAAGATGAGATTTGATGAATTCAGCTTATTCTCATTCGTTTCTACTTTGTCACTATTATTACTTTTGTACTGAATAATTCAAAAAATATAAAGCTCTGGGATTGTTGACTTACAAACCAACTTTAGTTATTGGTTATAATATTTGATTTAGTGTCGTTATATGTTTATTTATATCTGTAAAGACAGCCGAAGTTACATTAAGTGTTTTGACATAATTTCATAACTATTTTCTCTCGTTTAAAGATAATTTCGTCATAAAATTGGTTTACAAACATATTGGATGCTACTGACATCCAATGATATCGTATTGCTATTATTGTTTCCTTCAGTTCCTAGAGGAACATAGGGCCTCAGCTGCACATCTCCATTGCGTTCGGTTCTCTGCCAACGTTTTCACCTGGCTCCACGTCTGCCCACATGCTTTCATCTCCTCTTCACATGACCTCCATGTCACAGTCGCATCGACGACCAACTCGCGCTTCCCTTTCGGGTTCCACTAGAGCAATGGCTTGTCTAGTGATGTCACTTGATGGTTTCCTCAGAGTATGGCCAATCCACCTCCATTTCTTCCTGCATATTTGTTGCACAGTCGGTTCTTGCTGGGTTGGTTCGCTCATTACCAGAGATCCCTGTTGCTGATCCTTTCCTACCGGCTTTATGAACTTGAGTAGTATCGAGCGAAAACAGCTGTTGATGAAAGTCTGTAGTTTGTTCAAAGTGCCCTTTGTGACTCATTAAGTGTCTGATCCGTATAGCGAGTAGCACAGACTTCACATTGGAGTTGAAAATCCGGATCTATTGTCCAGGAATCTTCATCATCTCTGTTTTCTCTATGTTCACCTGAAGGAAGTCCTATCTTTGGTGCTTCTTCTGCCAACTTGTTGCTTTTCACTTGCATATCTCCAAGTTTGTGGGAAATCAAACATATATCATCGGCGAAATCCAGATCCTCCAAGTATTTTGTGTGGGTCCGTTTTATTCTTATCTTCTCCCTGATCGCCGAATTTCACATTATCCAGTCTACCGCAATCAAGAAGATCATTGGAGATAGTAGTCAAACAGCTTTGTCTGATTCCCGTCTTCATTTAGAAGGATTCTGTGAGTTTCCTGTTGTGGATTGCTTGGCGTGCAGCATTATCGTAATTGTTGGCGGCACCCCGTAGTGGCGAAGTAGTTTACAAATCACCTCTCGATCGATGCTGTCGAAGGCCTTCTCAAAGTCAATGAAGTTGAGTGAGGTAGATAGCTGGCTTGCATTCGAAGCTCTGTTCAATGATGATCCAAAATGTTGCGATTTGAGGGATGCATGACTTGTTCCTCCTGAATCCAGCCTGTTCCGGTCGTAGTTCTCCATGCAGGGTGTGTTTTATTCTCTCCAGGATGATGCAGCTTAGTAATTTGTTTGGGATGGAAAGAAGCATAATGCCACGCCAGTTCTTGTAGTGACTTAAGTCTCCTTTCTTTGAAAGTTTGAATAAGTAACCTTTCTTCCAATCCGCGGGTACCTTGCCCTAATTCAGTATAACATTACATAATACACAGAGTAGATCAATTAACTTGTACATAAATTTTTAACTACTAGACTGTGGAGATGTACATGACTACTGGATTGTTTATTTCTGAGCGTAGAAGGATTGGCACAATATACACAGTAGTTCAGAAGTATGCGCTTAAAGGAATAGGATATGTAACGGTAAGAGAGATGAGTATATGGTAACGGAATTATACATTAGCAGCTCGATGTACAGATATGGACAAGATACATCTACCTTATATTAGAATTACAATTTTTATATATCTTCGGTGTTGTGCTCCTCTATCATCCGTATTGTGTTTTCCATGTGTTGTTCCACAATCATCCTTCATTGATATCATCTCTCAGCTATTCACTATTCTTGTAGATGATATACATATTTATATTTATATATATATACTACTTCTAAATCTTGTTAGTAGCACACATTACAGATATATCCATATTTTGTGTATTAAGAGATATCTGTATGGATGAGTAAGTGATGAAATACCCCAGTATATTTTCTCAGCAAATACTTTTCTATTCTCGTGGGTTAGTAGACTGTAGAATACTTTATCTAGAA